GCATGCCACAAAAAACATCCTACTTTGCTATTTCTCCTGAGCTTTTGAGGGATCTGGCTTCTTCCCCCTGGAAGAGTCAAGGGAGCCTTAAAAGCTTGCTCACTTCCCCTTTGGGAACCCGTTGAGCTGTTCTTAATAAAGACGGTCTTAATAGACAGCTCTGTCCTGTGGGCTTTCGCAACTTGTCCCACCGACACATAACCCCGAAAGCCCTCTGTAGTACGCTGTGCTGCCAACCCCAAGATTTCCATTCCCTCCCAGAAACCTGGTCCTCTTCTCTAACCCAGTGTTGCTCAACCTCAGCAACTTTAAGATGTGTGGACTTCAACTCCCAGAATTCCCCAGCCAGCATGCAATTGAGAAACACTGGTGTAGGAGATCAACTCCTGCGTTCCTTCAAGCTGTGGGTTCTCCCCTCTTGGGTTGGGAAAGGGTTGTTTTAGCTCGGTGTCTTTCAACCTTGGCAACTTTAAGATGTGTGGACTTCAACTCCCAGAATTCCCCAGCCAGAATTCTGGGAGTTGAAGTCCACACATCTTAAAGTTGCCAAGGTTGCAAAACACTGCTCTAACCTCTGCAGCAGAACAGCTCTTTCTAGCCCCGTCTTTCAAGGATCTGCCCCTTTTCTCATTGGGAATACAGGAAGAGACGAGTGTCTCTGCCTTGTTCCCCTGAAACCCTGCAATTATTGCATCTGCCCCCCCTCCCCAAGCACCTTGTCAAACACCCACCACCAGTTTTAGAATCGTGAATGCGTTTGGGAGAAGCGTGTCAGTGGTGGCTTGCTTTCCCTCTGTTTTTTTTCAACAGAATTTTTTTTTCTTGATGCAGGGAGCTCGTAAGTTGAGGGTGTTTTTTCCCTAAAGATCTTTTCCTCGATTCCTCTCCTGTGAAGGATCTATTAAACCAGATCCAGGGTCTCTGGGGAGATGGAAGAAGGGAACAGTTCTCCCCAGTCTCTGTGCCAGGAGAGGAATCCATGAGACATGCTTCAGGATTAGAACCGATCAGACTTTCACACACAACAGGCAAATCAACGGTTCCCTAGGAATTATTTCAATATTTGGGGGGGGGGCTACAATCTTCCATTCACTGGGTATCTGGGCACTTCAGGGGACCCCAAAGGAAAAACTGGAGAAAAAATGGTGCAGAGGAGCCAGTGAAGAAAAGAATGGGAAGGGAATGTTCAAATAAGCCACGTTTTTTTTTTCCTTTGGGGGCCTCTCAGTTCAAAAGTGCCAATGAGAACGTGGATCCAGCCCAGCCATCAAGGGGTGACAGATGTCACAGCCAGATTGCATTCCCATCAAGAACAGTTTGTAAGGGAGATCTCGCGACTTTCTCTATGCTGGAGAAAAAGTTGGGTTGGGGATTGGGGTGGAAGAAGCGGAAGAGCTTGTCCCAAAAAGAGATGTTCAGTTAATGTGTGGATGAATCGCCATCAGGAAATCCCAGGAATGCAGCCTGGATGGGGAAGTCCAAAAAATACCCCGGAAGAAGCCAGTTGCAAATAATGGAAACCCTGTTTGGTATAGGGGGAAGCTGATGGCTGAGAAACCAGGAGATGGTGAGTTCTAGACCTGCCTTAGGCAGGAAAGCCGGCTGGGTGACCTTGGGCCAGGCCCTCCCTTTCAGCCCAACCCACCTCACAGGGTTGTTGTGGTGGGGAAAATAGGAGGAGGCAGGAGTATTAGGTATGTTTACCACCTTGAATTGACCAAAATACATAAAACAGGATAAAATACAGGTAGTCCTCACTTAACAACCATTCGTTTAGTGACCATTCGAAGTTACGGTGGTGCTGAACAAAGGGTCTTACAACTGGTCCTCACACTTACAACCATCACAGTACCCCCATGGTCATGTGATCATGGTCGCTTGGCAACCAGCTTGCACTTACGACGGTTGCAGCGTCCCAGGGTCACATAATCACCATTTGCAATCTTCTCAGCCAGCATCCAGCAAGTGAAATTAATGACGAACCACATGATTCACTTAACGACCATGTGATTCGCTTAAGGGCCATGGTGATTCGCTTAATGATTGCTGCAAAAAAGGTTGTAAAATCAGGTGTGACTCGCTTAACAACTGCCCCTCTTAACAATGAATTTTCCGGTCCCTATTGTGGTCATTAAGCGAGGACTACCTGTAATAACAACAGCAGCAGCAACTCCCATGTTGCTGCCAAAGGAACAGCATGGAGCATGAGTTAAATGAGATTTTACCTTCTTTTTTTTTTTAACCAACAGTGACTAATGGAACAACTCCAGGTTCAGCCACTTGGAAGAGCCATCCTTAAGACCGTCTCCTCTCCCCCTTCTCTGCAGGGTGCTAAATGTCAGCTTTTGTTCAGCCTTTGGAACAAGAGCAAAGAAGCTGGTTTGCTCCATTTAAAAAACAAACACAGTTAGGCAAAAAGCATTTTCTATTGGGGAAATAGGACTTTAAAGAGGCCCCCCAGGAATATTCTTCTTTTTGGGGTGGAATGAAAGGACATAAGTGCTTAGCGAAGCCATGTGTCCTACTTTGCCTGCCTGCTTTGAAGGCATCCTCTAACGGGGGGGAGCGATCTCGACCCCCCCCCCCAGGGGAGCAATTATCCAGCCAAAATCCCACAACCTCTCTGAAAGCCACTGCTGGCTTGTAATGTTTAAGGTGACAGAAGGCAAATGTTTTTAAATAGATGGAGATAATCATGTTGACTGGATGTAATTTAATGTTAATTAAAATGTAAACGCAGCGAAATCAGATTTAGCCTTGGTTCAGCTGCTGAAAAGCTACGGAATAGCACTTGGCCTGAAAAACGTTAGGTCGCCCTGCTCAGGATGAACCAGTTGGTCGATTTCAGCTTTTCTCTCCGTTTCCCCCCCTTCCTGTTTTATGGATCTGCCAAGCCTGGTTTCTCCCAAAATCTCCCGCTGGACGTTGCTGCCCACCGGTCATTGAGTGAGGCCACAGAAGCAGCAATGACTCAAAAGGGGGGGGGGGCATGCTTCTTAATGTAAGAAAGCTTGCTTAGGTTTCCATGGGGGTGGCGTGCCTTTGTTCCACCAACTTCCTTGCCAGGGGTGTCCGCGAGGTCTGGTCAAAAAGCACATGTTTTAAAAATGGAGAGAGCTTCAACGTTACGGGGGTAATAAAGCCAGCACATAGTTCGACAAAAATTAGGTCACGGTCCTTCCGTGCCAAAATCCACTTGGGACCTCACAACCTGGAATCTGGGTTCCGAAAGTCTACGGTGGGCCACCTAGTCGATATTCCGGCAACTGAAATTCACCGATTCTCTTTTCCAGCGACCCGTTGAGAATGCTGAGAATGGCCTCCCTGCACGGCAGGAGGGGCCAGGGACGGCAGGAGAGCAAGGATGTCATCACACAAACGTTGTGACTTATTTACTTTCTTGGATGCACGTGATCATGGCATGTGTGTGATGATACAATTGTCCACCTGCTGCCGTTTTTGGCATTGCTGCGGCCACACGTCTGAAAGGCACCAAGTTGGGAACAGAGACTCTGCAACATTCAAGCCCAGTGGGAGGGGAAGAATTTTGGCAATGTTTTCTGCTTGGAATGACTGGTTTGAGCATAACGTGCTTAGAAAATGCTCAAAACAGCCCATTTCACACTTGAAATGGCAAGTTTGCCCTCGGAACAAGCCATTTCCTGAACTTTCACACTCAAAACGGTTCAAAATGAAACATCTTTCACATACCATACCCACTTTTTGGCCTTTGTCACCCCCCAAAAAACCTCAGTTGTGGCCTTTGTCCCCCAAAATGTTGCCTGTCCCTTTCCCTGAGGGTCACAAGTAGGAGCACACCTTTGGCGTCCGGAAATTCACCTGCTGCCTGATTTACCTGCACTCATACAGTTTCCCCAGGTCAGCTCTGCTTACTCCTGCAGTGTGGTTAGGCTTCTTGCCCGCATGCGAATCTGTGAATTACATTTGCAACCAAGCCCAGACTGTCTTCAAATTGGATGTGGCAGCTTTGGAGCTACCTGCTGATAGTTGCCATCTAGACAAAAGACAATCCTCTGATGCACTGCCAGAGTTCAGCATCTCTTCACTTATTCATACTGAGAAGCTCCATCAATCAAAGGAACAGCAATCTTCCACCTTGTCCTGCATTTAATACTGAGCGTGTATATGCCACAAACTGGCTGTGTTAACACACTGTGCTTAGCTTCCTAATCACTTATAAGAATTGGTCTACACCACTGTTTCTCAACATGGCTGGCTGGGGAATTCTGGGAGTGGAAGTCCACACATCTTCAAGTGGCCAAGGTTGAGAAACACTGGTCTACACTATCCACATCTCCAACATTTCCAGTTCTGGATGATTTCAGGAAGTTGGGGAGGTAAGATATACAGATAGTCCTTGTTTAGTGGCCACAGTTGGGACCAGCAATTTGGTCGTTAGGTGAAGCAGTTGCTAAGTGAAACCATGACGGTGCTTATGATCTGACTTTCCTTTGCTTTACAGCTTTAAAGCTTTCCTTTGCTTTACAGACCTGCGAAGGTTGTCAATGCAAGGATTGGTCACAAAGTGACTTTTTCATCACTGTCGTAACTGCGAACAATCACTAAATGAGGCAGTCTCTAAATAAGAACTGCCAGTATTAGGAAAAATACATAGGGAATGAAAAGAAAAAATGTGGAATTATTTCCTGAACGAAAAGAGTGAATCCTCCCAACTTTTGTGGATGAAGACACAGCCATGGTTACCTGTGTGATAAGGAATATATTTGTATTAGGAGGATCACTGTTTTCTTAACATGCCCCACAAACAAGTTCCTAAGAATAGCAAGACTATCCAAAGCTTCTCCGTGAGATAATTCATATGTCTTTTTGTTGTTGTTGTTGCAGAGACTCTACTCGGATCTATCTGCCTGTTTACATTTAAACCTGAGAATCTCCTCCCTTTTCTTAGAAGCAGTATTTGGAGGAAGGCAAAGTGAGATCCTCCAAGACAGCCAGAGTTACAACAGGCCAATCTGGGGATGAGTACAGGCAGAGTCAACCCTTATAGCATAGTGTCTTCTGAGGAAGACGGGTTGATCTTGACCGCCATGCCTGGAGTGAATGGTTTTGGCAACGGTAAGATCCATACTCGGAGGAAATGCCGGAATCGATTTGTTAAGAAGAATGGCCAGTGCAACGTCGAATTTACCAACATGGATGATAAGCCTCAGAGATATATAGCTGACATGTTCACCACGTGTGTGGACATCCGCTGGAGATACATGTTGCTGCTCTTTTCCCTTGCTTTCCTAGTGTCCTGGTTATTGTTTGGCCTGATCTTTTGGCTGATTGCACTTGTCCATGGTGATATCGAGAAGCCAACTAAAGATGAGACCTTCACCCCTTGCCTCCTCCAGGTGAATGGCTTTGTGGCTGCTTTCCTCTTCTCCATTGAGACTCAAACGACAATAGGCTATGGTTTCCGTTGCGTGACAGAGGAGTGCCCTCTGGCTGTTTTCATGGTGGTCCTTCAGTCTATTGTAGGGTGCATCATCGACTCTTTCATGATTGGCGCCATCATGGCTAAAATGGCAAGGCCGAAGAAGAGAGCTGAAACTTTGCTCTTCAGTCATCATGCGGTGGTGGCCATGAGGGATGGCAAGCTTTGCCTGATGTGGAGGGTGGGCAATCTCCGTAAGAGTCACATTGTTGAGGCTCATGTCAGAGCTCAGCTTCTTAAGCCCAGGATCACTGAGGAGGGGGAATATATCCCCCTTGACCAAATTGACATAGATGTTGGGTTCGACAAAGGCTTGGACCGTATCTTTTTGGTATCCCCCTTGACGATCCTTCATGAGATCAATGAGGAGAGCCCACTCTTTGGGATTAGTCGTCAAGATTTGGAAATGGATGATTTTGAGATTGTGGTTATCCTTGAGGGCATGGTGGAGGCTACTGCCATGACCACACAAGCTCGGAGTTCGTACTTGTCCAATGAGATCCTCTGGGGCCACCGCTTTGAGCCTGTCCTCTTTGAGGAGAAAAACCAATACAAAGTGGACTATTCGCATTTCCACAAAACCTATGAGGTCCCATCAACTCCCTGCTGCAGTGCCAAGGACTTGATGGAAAACAAATTCCTACTTCCAAGCACCAATTCATTCTGCTATGAGAACGAGCTTGCATTTATGAGCCGTGATGAGGAGGAGGAGGAGGAGGAGGAAGACGATAGTAGAGGTTTGGACAATCCATGCTCAGGTGACCAGCCTGAATTCGATAGGCTGCCAGCTACTGTACCTCTTGATCAAAGGTCCTATCGGAGAGAATCAGAAATATGACTCAGGGGTCTCCTAGATGTTTTGAGAGTTTCTTTGGTCTCTCCCCTCTCCCTCTCACTAACCTTCTCAAAAATTTATGCAGAATAATGCAAGTGCCATAGGAATGCCTGAGAACTAGTGTGGTTTGTTGGATCTTGGTTTTTGTTGTCTTAAAGAAAATTAAGTGCAATAATCACTGACTGGCACCGATCCTCAGAGGGTGGTAGAGCTCCAGTGTTAGAACGTCCTGCAGAGCAGGTCCTACATGGAGGCACCGTGGGTTTTGCAGCAAAAACACACAAACACACGCATACACACTTCTGAGTTTTATGCCTTGTGGAGGAATGACAACACATGCTGAGTGAGAGTAGGGAGTCTTTCCTTCTCTTTGTTGAAAATTAGTTTTTAAGAATAGTATTGCATTAGAGGGGTTCAGAAGACAAAAATATCAGGAAACAGAACCAGGTGTGTTTTTTTCAGATATACATACTGCCAAGGGGTGGAATTCCTTTGCACTAAGATGGACAACCCTTTTCTGACTTCACTATGTTGTCACGGGGATGGTAAAAGAAGTTTAAACAGCAACCCGATGAGAAAGGGTCCAGGGGTGGAACTCCAGGGCTGGTTCTACCGTTAGGTGGAATGAGGAAGCCATCATGGGCAACCAAGCAAGATGTCCTCCGTGGGCAGACTGATGAACCACAGGGAGACCTTGGGGTCTCAGAAAGCTTAGGCTCCCTTAGCTTGCTTCCCTCATAAGTGCTTCTCATGGGCCGTTCCACAAGTCATGGTAGAGATTTTCTCAAGTCAGCTTCAATGCCTGGTGACCACACGGATGCATCCTTGGGAGTTTTCTTGGCAATCATACAGAAGTGATTTACCACTGCCTTCTTCTGGGGCATTTTTAAAAGGGTTTCTAGCCCTGCAACCCTGAGATTTCCTGGTGGGCTCTCATCGAAGTACAAACCAGATCCGAACTCGGTGAGCTTTTACAGTCTCAGTCCATTTCAGTTGCCAGTTACATCCCTGATTGCTTTGAGCTCCTGGAGATACACAACACAGATTGCAGCCATGGGGTGGGGGATGTGGAAAGCTCTGCCTTGAGTACCATAATATCATCCGTTGACGATGGCCCTCACCCATCGCAGCATCCTTCCTCAGAGACGGATGTTCTGATTTTAAAAACAGCAGATGCCCAAGAGAAATGAACTCAGCTGATTTCCCTCTGACTATTTGGACCAGAAGACTTTCTTTAAGCAAGAGAGGGCTTAACCATTCCCTCGGTAAGGGTTGTAGGATCTTTGCGCCAAAAGCCATGCGTCTACCCCTTCCCTCCCCACCTTACATGAACCTCACCCTGTGGGTGCCTTCTCCTCCTCTGCTGCTTCTAAGCACCATTCTGTTCTAGTCCCCAGCCTTAATCAGAGTCACATGTCCATCCATCTGGATGGAGGCATGGGCCAAACTGAGCAGCAGATCACGTCAGCAATAAATGTGAAAGATGTTACGTTGGCCACCAGTTTCCGAGTATCCACCATTAGCTGTTACTGTAAAAGCCAAACATTAAAAAAAAGAAAGAGAGAAAAACCAAGTCTCGCAACGGCTGAATTTGCCCTCCAGCAAACTGCCAGGAGCTGAAGGACATACTGTGTTCAGAGACAGCTTGCAAAGGAGCGAGCATTTGAAGAAACTGTCTAAAATTAGAAGCCGTTACTTCTGAGATTTAAGGGAGCCAGCCGACATTGCCAACTGATCAGACAGCAGATGCTGGTCTGCCTTGCTTCTGTGCCTTTAAGAGTAACTCACTCTGCAAATCTCAGTGTTTGGGAAAGCTGCAAAGGAACCTGCAAACCAAGTTAATGTTGCAGGCACAAAGCTTGCAAATCATCTTCTACCTTGGCAAGCTTACTATTGTACTTACACATTGCATTAAGCTATGGCTTGCCTAACCATGCTTTCCTAAACTATGGTTAAGCAGCCACTGCTGGCTAAGCCTCTTGTGAACCCAAAGTAACCCCATTGGGCTGGGTTCATACAATGTGTTAAATTATAAATCCTTGTTTACAAAACATCATAGCGGGGGGGGGGGAACGAAAAAGGTATGTTACGGGCACCATCATGAAGGCCAAGCCAGGCTTTCAAGAAATGGCTGGAGAACATCTTCTCCCCTTGGAGAAACTGGGGAAATTTTCATCCTCCAGCTTCCAACTTTAAAATGTGGATTTAAGGCTGCCATTGGCACCCCTATCTTTTCAGGCACGTCCAAAGCTGGCAGACATCTTGAAAATACACCAGTGTCAACCTGTCCTGCAGAGACAGTGAGGAACCAGGATAAGGGAGCTGAGACAATCTCTAGGCAAGAAGGCTATGAGTCCTGCCCATAAGTCAAGAACCATGGTCTGAAATGAGCTGGGCTGGAGGGATGGTCAAGGTGCAGTTAATGGTTGAAAAGTCTAGGTAGATCAGTGTTTCTTCCTTTTTCTCTCTCTCTCAGGACCTCTTACCCCTTTTAAAAATAATGGGGGACCCCAAAAGAGCTTTTGTTTGTATGGGTTATATTGATCGACCTTTACCATATTAAAAATTAAAATTGACACTTTTGCTGCCCCCTACCCTTCTCACAATTGTTGGATGTATTTTTTTTTCAACAGAGGCTGGCAAATAATTTTGATTATGTGGACCCCTGAGAGGGTCTTGGGGGACCCCCATGAGTCTTCAGACCACACTTTGAGAAACACTGAGCTAGACTAATCAAGGTTAAAGATCCTGGGTACAAAGCACTAGGATGATTCCCAACTTGGGGCCATTAAAACTCTAAGGGGCCAACCCCTTTCAGACTTAAACAGTGTTTATTATTATTTCTACATGATCCTGATGTCCAGGGTGACTATTTTTCCCAGAGACCCGACAATGAAGTTGGGCAATTGTATGTTTTTCAGCCCATCATTCCTAGACGTTGTAGGATTAAAGGTTATGAAGTCAGAGCAGGTTTAGCAACTGGAGCTTCTATGGCCTTAAAACATTTTCTTAAAACATTTGATCTCCTCTAGCTTGTAATCCCCAGTTTGGGTCCTCAGACAAAACCTGAACCAGAGTCAAGGCTAGCTGAATCTTTGGAGGCAGGCTGTGTCAATGCGTGGGTCAACTGAGTACCCTATGGGCAAAAAGGTAGAATATAAATCATTAAATTAAATTAAATTAAATTAAATTAAATTAAATTAAATTAAATTAAATTAAAACAAAGCCCTGGGGAAATATACTGCAAACTTACTCTGGTGTTCCGCAGGTTTCATGGTTGTTGATTCCAAATCCCAGGGAGTTCATGTGCCATAGATTAGTAGCGACAAAATAATACGAATTTTCGGTTAAGGCCTTTTTAAGATTCCAAAGGATCCATTCCTATTCCCAACTTCCTTCTGTTCACATCTTATGCAAAGGCACTTTCTCTCACTTTCTTTGTCCATAGAAGTCAATGGTCCAATTAAAGGGATTGTGTGGGAAACCCCAGAATATTGATTCTTGGAGTTGTATTTGAACTGAGTCATTTACTGCCCTGAATGAAAAGCATTATCCATCTGATCCTTTGAAAGACTGAACCATGCATGGTTGAGGCCCTTTTTACTTATTTATATCTCCATCCCCCAATGAAACGGGTCCCCTAATGAGTGTTTGAGTGAGATCTTGGGGATGGGGTTAAACTATGGTTTTAAGACCATTTCCCATGATTTATAATGGAGAGGTCACCACCATATAACTCATTTCTATAACTTACATATGCTCAGCCCAATTTTGTGGCAGCATCTATCCAACGTTAGCTGATCTATCAGCTCAGCTGGGTTACCACGGATTAGTCCATGGATGGGAGCCAACCAGGAGGGTCAGAGCTGTAGGCTAGATGGAGAAGTTGAAAAAAAATCCTGGCCAAAGGTAACAACTAACCACTTCCATAGGGTTGGCAAGAAGATGGCGTGGATGTATCCTTCTCATCACCAGGAGTCAAGCTGAGCTCCCTAAGGATTTTGTCTCTCTCTTGTGACATGTTGGTATCCTGTTTCTACAACCAACCTGGTACCTAAACTGCCTTTCCCAACCTGTTTGCCAGGGTGATGAGCTAAAACATCGGAAGGACACTGGAATTAAGGAACAGAAGGTGATTTAGAAGCACACATAGATGGGATCCCACGATCGACCTGTTCCCACCCCAATGCTGCTGCATAGATGCCTTTATATTCAGGTTCCAGTCATTGTCTGTTGACCCAACAAGCTGCTTTGGAACCCTTCAAAAAGGGGTAGAATTAGAACCGTTTATCAAGGGTGGTTTTCTTTCAAGAGGTTGGTTGTGTGTTTTGCTGTTGTTTTTCTAACTAAATTCTTATTGCTGATTGAGGAGGGTGGATGGATGGGGTGATGTTCTGGACATGAATTTCTAAATGTAGAGCACCGTAAATATTTATAAAGGAGGAAAAGAATCTTGAAGTAAAGTATTTGCTTTTTAAATTATGTTATATAATTGTACAGTCTGGTCCCAGAGACTAAAATATTATATATATGTATCTATGTATTTTTTAAACTATTGCATAGAGCCACTTGAAAAAAAATATGTAGGTATGCAATGCAAACTTAGCAAATAACTCCTCTTCCTCCTCCTCTTACGTCAGCCCCTTAATCTTCTCTCTGCTTCACATCAAGCTATGGAGAATAATGTTATATAAAATGTATAGCTCTAGAAACTGAATGTGCTGTTATATAATGTATAATAATTATATGTGT